CATGTTGCTGTGAATGGCATGAGTTTATCTTTTTTGATTGCTGAGTAATATTCCATTGTGTATATGTACCACATCTTCTTGATCCAGTCATCTATTTTTGGGCATTTCGGTTGTTTCCATACCTTGCCTATTGTAAGTAGTGCTGCAATAAACATAGGGGTGCAGGTGTCGTTTTGAAGTAATGTTTTTGTGTCGTTTGGGTAGATACCTAGGAGTGGAATTGCTGGATCATATGGAAGCTCCATTTTCAGTAGTTTGAGGAACCTCCACACAGCTTTCCATAGTGGTTGGACCAGTTTGCATTCCCACCAGCAGTGTAGGAGATACAACTAACTATAAAACTCTTAGAAGAAAACATCAGGGAAACCTTCGTGACATTGGACTTGGTGATGATTCCTTGGACATGACACCACAAGCACAAGCAGTAAAAGAAAAAAGTTAAGTTGGGGGCCTCCCCGGTGGCGCAGCGGTTGAGCGCTGGGTTGTGAAGCTGCCTGCAGCCTCTGCGGCGCCAGTTCGATCCCCAGATGCTCCCCGGCCACCTGAGGAGTGTCCCGCATGGTGCGCAGACCTCTCCTGCCGCCCGCTGCTCCCCTCAGCGGTGTACTTCGGTTCTTCTGCCTGCTCTGCTCCCCGCTCTGGCTCTGGTGAATTCTCTCACCCTCCCACACTTCTGACTGTACCCAGTGCTTGTATAAATAAATAAATAAATAAATCTTTAAAAAAAATAGTTAAGTTGGGCATGTCAAAATTTAAAACTTCAAAGGACACAATCAACAGAGTGAAAAGGCAACACAGAGAATGGGAAAGAATATTTACAAATCATATATTTGATAAGGAACTAATCAGAATATATGAAGAACCTGTACAACTCAACAACAACAAAAACAAACAACTCCATTTGAAAATGGACTAAGGGGGCCTCCCTAGTGGCGCAGGGGTTAAAAAGAGCGTTATCAAGCTACTCCCAGCCACTGCTCCATGAGTTCGATCCCCAGCCGGCCAGGGAGCTGACCCACATGGCGTAGCATGTGGGTCTCCTGCCTTGCCCGCTGCTCCCCTCAGCAGTGTATTTCAGTACATCTGCCTGTTCTGCTCCCAACTCTGTCTCTGGTGAATCCTCTCATACCCCCCACCTCTGGCTTACACCCCAGTTCTTGTATGCATAAATTATCTTTTTTAAAATAGACTAAGGACTTCAATAGACATTTCTCCACAGATTATATATAAATGGGGCCAATAACTACATGAAAAGATGCTAAGCATCACCAATCAGGGAAATACAAGTCAAAAGTACAATGAGATACCACTTTACATCCATTAGGATGATTACTTACAAAAAAAAATAATAACAAGTGTTGGTGAGGATATCTTTGTGCACTGTTGCAATTGAAAAGAATTAAAAGCAGAGACTCAAAGAGATATTTGTACAGCCACGTTCGTAGCAGCATTATTCACAATAGACAAAAAGTGGAAGCAACCCAAGTGTCCACTGATGGATGAATGGACAAACAAAATTGTTACATTCACACAATGGAATATTACTCAGTCTTAAAAAGGAAATTCTGACACATGCTACAACATGGTTGAACCTTGAAGACATGATGCTAAGTGAAATAAACCAGTCGCAAAAGGGCAAATACTGTATGGATGATTCCATTTATATGAAGTACCTACAGCAGTCAAATTCACAGAAACACAAAAGTGGATTTGTGGGCACCAGGAGCTGGAGGAGGGCAAATAGGGGTTAGTGTTCAGTGGGTAGAGATGTTCAGTTTGGGAAGATGAAAACGGTTCTGGAGATGGATAGTGGTGTTGGTTGCACAACAACTGAATGTACTTGATGCCCCTGAGCTGTACTTGATGCCCCTGAGCTGTACACTTTACAAATGGTTAAGAGGGTAAAGTTTGTTATGTGTCGTTTTATTACAGTTTTTAAAAGCATGATATTCAGTGAAAGAAACAAGACACAAAAGATTACATGATGTATGGTTTCATTTATGTGAAATGTCTAGAATAAGCACATCCAAAGAGATTAGCAACTGCCTAGGGCTGTCAGGGGCAGATGGGAAGTGACTGCAAGCTAAGGGGCACAAAGCTTCTTTTGGGGGTGCGTGAAATGCCCTAAAATTAGGTTGCAGTGACTTTCACACACATTGATAAATATACTAACTACCATTGTATTATACAAATAACACTCATGAATTTTATGGTATATAAATTATATCACAATTAAACTACTTTTACAAATAAAGCTAGTAGCTGATTTTAGCCTGTAAATTAAAAAGAAGAATCTATGAGTCTCGCCCTGATACAAATAAATAAGAACTTGGGGAAGAAGGTAAAGCACTTCTTTAGCATAAAATCTCAGCCAAACCTGTAAAAGGAAATCATCATTTGGCCACCATCACAGTAGTAATTGCTTCAGGCAAGAATCACCAATGAATGCTAACTAATGAGTAGAAGTTTAAGGAAAACTGGGAGTATCAGCCTACAAGATAGTTACTAATTCAAGGGGGAAATCTGCTTTCCAAGTAGAGACACTTGGAAGTCACCACCTCAGTGAAAAGATCAAAGCTAGTAACAACAGTTTGGGAATTAAAATATCTTCTTGTTCTCAGTGTCACTTCTGTGGAATTCCTACCCAAAATGCATAATCCAAATGTAATCCTGAGGAAACATCAGATAAAGTCAAATCGAAAGACATTCTTCCAAAGAACTGACTGACCTGTTTTCTTCAAAACATCAAGATCATGAAAGTTAAGGGAAGAATGAAACATTGTTCCAGATTGAAAGAGACTAAAAAAAGACCTGATAACAGAATGCATCTTGTGACCTAGGATTTCCTTTTCCTATAAAAGGGCATTATGGGTCCACCCACTGGGATGGCTAGAATTAAAAAGTCAGATAACAAGTGTTAGTGAAGATGTGAAGAAATTGGAACCTTCATACTCAGTTGGTAGGAATGTGAGAGAAGGTCCTTGTTCTTAGGAAATGCATACTCAAGTATTTAGCTGAAAGGGCACTATGTCTGCAACCTCAATCAAATAGTTTAGGAAAAAATTAGAGATTGATAGATGATAGAAATATACGGAGAGAAATAGGAAATGTTCTTATTATGAAACTTGACTTTTCGGCCAGTGTAGGAAGTGAAAAATACAATCTCATTGTTCTAACTTGCATCTCTTTAAAACAGGGAAGTGGGGAAACCTTATAAAATACCCCAGAAACTAGACTGAGCAGAAAGGCTTTAAAAGTGGACATTTATGGAGTGCCCTTTCTCCAGTGATAAAAATATGCAACATCGGAGATGTGCAATGGTAGCTAATTGTTGTTTGAGTTGCATTTCCCTGACAACTAGAGACTGGATTATCTTTGCATATATTAGACACACTGGCCATTTCAAGTATTGTTGTGAATTGTCCACTGCCCATTTTGTCCTTCCCTTATTGATTTGCAGGTGTCCTTCATATGTCCTAGAATCCAGATGCCAGCTTTTTGTCACACACATAAAAAAACTAGATGGAGACAATAAAGTGTATGAAGCTCAGGGTCATGCATAGTTAAGATCGCATGGTTTTAAATGCCAGGTCCTGCAATACAGAAAATATTTCTGGCATGTGCTATGGGTACTGTTGCTCTACTGGAATATGTTTGAAAACTGAGGGGGAAAAATTAGAATGAAGTCTTGTTCATAAAATCAATGGCCTGTATTCTAGGATTAAGAAATTTGTATTCAAACATCTGGCCTATGTAATTATTATATATGGCCTTACTGTGTCAAACATTTTCCATTTGTCATATATAAATGTTCATTTATGAATTAAAACTCCATTTAGCTTTATGTTAACTTTTTCTTAAAGAGAGTTTTATACATTTCTCTTCCATTGCCATCGGTATTCCCAAGCGAAGACCTGCTAACCCCACTTCCTTGCTTAACAGGAACAGACACACTGAGGTCGGCGAGTAGACGTGACTTGGCCACGTCTATGCCAGCATTAATTTTGTTTTCCTTAGCTCCTCAGGTCACGGTGGGGTCCAGCTTGAAGTGGGCTTCCTCCTCCCTTCCACATCATAACTAAATCTTAGTACGTGCCCAATAAACGCTCCTTTGGAAAAATGGGGGCTCGATCAGCCTAGGAACGGAATCAGCCCAGGCAGTGGATAGTAGAGGAGGCAGACAGCAGGTGCGGCATAAATTCTCAGAGTCGGTGCAGGCAGAGCCCAGTACAAACTGTTGTCGGGAACGCAGTGTTTTACCAACGCTCCCGGGGCTCTGTCCTCGGCTCCTGCTTCACACAGAACTCTGTCCCTCAAGACTGCAGGCACCTTCAAAGCAGCGGTGAGTACGGTGGGTAATTAAGCAGGCAAATTATTTCTCAGCCACAAGCCAAAGGCTCACAAGGAGTCTCTAGGGGGAGCACAGGTACCTAATTCATGCTCCTGGGAGACACGGTCAGTTCTTATAAGTGTTTCTGGAGACGGGGAGGATTAGAAATTCCTGTAGGTCCCTCACCGAACAGGGAGGGAGAGACCTTGGTTTATTTTCCCCTCTGTGAAACCCGGACTCGACGGCGTCGGGCGGACGTGCGCAGGTGAGCAGTTGGGGGAGCGAGACGGGATTTCCCGCCTCGCTCCCCCATCTCAGCTACTCAGGATTAGGGATTTTGCGTTTCGAAGGGCTGTTCTTGGACGGCCGGCGGACCTCCGGACGCTAACGTTCGGGGCTGAAACACCCAGAGGCCAGAAAGGTGCGAGCGCGGAGAGTGTGCGCACCGCGGACCTCCCGCGCCCCACTCCTCTCCACCTCGCGCTCCTCCTTCCCTCGATCCTCCCGCTCCCCTCCTCCCCGGTCCCCGCCCCACTCCTGCCGTCCCATTGGCCAAGCCTGCCGGCCGGGCCTCCCCCCGGATTTAAAGGGCCCGCTCTCCGTGCTGCCTTGGGAGCCGCAGCTGGTCCCGGCCTTGCGGCCTGCGGGGGAGGCTGCCGGGTGGAGGCGGCGACGGTGGTGGCGGCGGCGCGTCCCCGGCCCCCAGGACCGTGGCCTCCTTCCTGCCAGGTAGGTCGCCAGTAGTGCTCACGCGGCTCCCCTGCTCCCATCCTGAGCCGGCCTCCCCGTGCGGGTCTGCAGCGCGTGTCCGGGCCCCCCCATCTCCATCACCTTTCCCACTCCCCCTCCTGCAATGTCCCCTATCACCACCTCCACCTTCCTGCAGCCCCCGGGCCTGGACCGGGCTTTATTGGCAGCTGAGAGAGGTCGGGTGGGGGTGAGATGGGGTGCACGGGGATACAGGACACCCCCCACATCCTTACAAGGAGAGATGCACACGGCCCCCAAGTGTCACAGGATCTCCCTCTCCTCCCTCCACATAGAGTGACTCTACCTTGAAAACCAGGGAGCCCCCCATTTGACATAGGGGCCTAGAATGTACACCATTCAATGACCATCGGACCTGGACTCTTCACAGCACACAAGAGATACCCGCCCTTCATTCACCACAGGTCATGGGCTGTGTATGTGCACACAGGACATCCCACACACACAGTTGGCGGCTCAATCTGATGTACCTGATGCTCACACCCACCCCCAGCCTGCCAGCACGGTGTCTCCAAATTGGTTGGGGGGGGGGCAAACTGAAATCTGACTACCCAAATCATCTTTTGAGCATGGTCTGCCCCATGGACATCCCTGCTCCCTCTCTGTACCCCTTTGGCAGGTCTTTCAATCTTTCCATCCATTCGTGGGGGTCCGCAATGGCCACCTTCAGCCGCCAGGAATTTTTCCAGCAGCTGCTGCAGGGCTGTCTCCTGCCTACTGCCCAGCAGGGCCTTGACCAGATCTGGCTGCTCCTTGCTATCTGCCTCGCCTGCCGCCTCCTCTGGAGGCTTGGTAAGTGCCTGCCACCCCATGTGCCGCCCACGCCAGGAATATCACATTTGCCACGTTCATCCATATGAAGCCACACCTTATCCTGCCACATCTTGCCAAATCAGGCTCCCACATGTCCAGCCCACTGCATCCCTCCAAGCCAAACAGCATTCCACTACACCACGTCCTACTATGCCCAGCCACCCCATGGCACACCATGCCAAACCACATCCTGCCGTGCCTTTCACTGTTGCTGGTTTCTGGAACACTGAGATTCCTGGATCTTGCAATCCTGAAATGTCTACATCCCAAGGTTATAAGATTCTGGGATGCTGATGTCACAGGATTAGCAAATCTCAAAGTACCATGTTACAGGGTTTGGGAATTCCTACAACTCAAAGTTTTCATATTCTAGCTTCCCACATACTGGTATTCTGGATTTCTAGACTCAGCCTGATGAGATTTCAGGATTCTAGGATTCTGGAATGTTTCCACAGCAATGGCAAGCCTATATCCAAATAAGATTCCATGTTTTGTTTTTTCCCAGGTTTATAATTTTAAAATATTTCAAAGTTACAGAGAAATTGAAATGAACATTCATTTATGTTTCAACATTCTCCAGCTGTCAGCATGCTGTCATGTCAGCCCTATCTATCTGTCTGTCTCTTTCTTCTAATCACTTGAATAACGCTTTGACATGACACTTCACCCCAAATCCTTCATTGTGTGCCCCCCAGAACAAAGACATCTTCCCCCACACCACAGACTCAACCATCACCCCCCCACAAGAAATTTAATCTGGATACAGTAATATTATCCAATATAAGTTAATATTCAGATTTCCTCCAGGGTTCCCATAATGTCCTTTATAGAGATCTCTTTTCCTTAAACCCAGACCCTGCCACCTTTCCATGCCCCTGACATTTGCTTTTGGCCCTCTGTACTCCTACCACATTCCAGCGTCTGGGCCTTTGCCCAGACTGTGCCCTCTGCCCAGACTGCCCTCCTTCCTACCAACCCACCCAACTTCCTGCTCTTGTTTTCTCTCTGTCTCTCTCTCACTCCAAGGGCTGCCATCCTACCTGAAGCATGCCAGCACCGTGGCAGGCGGGTTCTTCAGCCTCTACCACTTCTTCCAACTGCACATGGTTTGGGTCGTGCTGCTCAGCCTCCTGTGCTACCTCGTGCTGTTCCTCTGCCGACATTCCTCCCATCGTGGCGTATTCCTCTCCGTCACCATCCTCATCTACCTACTCATGGGGTGCGTCCTCATCGCCACACTGTCAGCAGAAGGGCGAGTGGTTTTCTCCTCACGAGTCTGTCCAGGACAGGGAGGACGTGGGGTATTCTTGGAGGAGTAAATCTGGGATACTGTTATTTCTAAAGGCTGTCCAGGACAGGCTGGGCGTGGGCTCCCCCTGGAGGAGGGAGTCCAGGAGAATTAGTGCTCCATGAGGTTATGCAGGCAAAGGGAAAATAGAGCCCTCTCTGAATCTTGGTTTCTCCCCTCTGTGGTCACTGAGGCTGTGGGGGTGATGGGGCCAAGACCACCACCTTTTTTCCTCAGTGAGATGCACATGGTGGACACCGTGACATGGCATAAGATGAGAGGTAGGCAGCCCTGGCCCTCCCACTTGCCCCTTGCTGAATCTCCTAACTACCCCCTCCGGCTTTCCTGCCCCACTTTTCTCCCTCATCTGCCCACCCATTGGGACGTTCAGGCCTCAGACTCCCCTTGCATCTGTGTCTTTTTCTACCATGACTTTCCCCCCAATCTGTCTGACCACCTTGAGTTAAGGGCATCTGCCTGTACTGGGTCCAGCTGCCTGTCTGGTACTGTGCCTACCTGTCCACCCTTGTACGCCTCTTTTCCTACCACCTCTCACCTGGTGCTCCCCATCCTTCCATGCTGACCGGCTCTCTGCCCTTGCACGTGACCATGGGCACCACATATAGGGGCCCAGATGATCGTGGCCATGAAAGCGGTGTCTCTGGGCTTCGACCTGGACCGGGGCGAGGTGGGCGCAGTGCCCTCGCCCGTGCAGTTCATGGGCTACCTCTACTTCGTGGGCACCATCGTCTTTGGGCCCTGGATATCCTTCCACAGCTACCTGCAGGCTGTCCAAGGCCACCCACTGGTGAGGCCCCGGGTGGGCAGGTGGGTGGGGACTGTGGGAGTCACCATGGGGCACTGCTCATGGAGCCTTGATCCCCACAGAGCCGCCAATGGCTGCAGAAGGTAGCCCGGAGCCTGGCGCTGGCCCTGCTGTGCCTTGTGCTGTCCACCTGTGTGGGCCCCTACCTCTTCCCGTACTTCATCCCCCTCGATGGTGACCGCCTCCTCCGCAAGTGAGCACAGCCTTCCAGGCCTCTGCCCAGCAATGTTGGGGTTGGGTAGGGACCTGGGGTCTCCCCAGCTCTGAGCCTGTCTCTTAATGCTTCTGTCTGTCTTCTGTTACTACAGCAAGAAACGCAAAGCCAGGTAAATGAGGGCAGGTACTGAGGGCGAGTGGGGCTGACGGGGGGGTGGGGGTGCGGTCTGTGGCCAATTGGTTCTGTAAGTCTGAGTCTGTCTGACCATCTACCCTGTGACTAGACAGAGACCGGCGTCTGTATGACCAAAACTGGCGCTGTGACTCCGTATATGGCTGACACTCCGACACAGACTGTCTGACTATCCATCTGTCCCTCTGTTTTACCATTAGAAACAAGTTACGTGACTGCAATGGGAAGGGACAGCTGTGTATTGCTTGGTGATGCTGACCAGTCTGGGACTCTGGCTAGGAGCGTGTATTGGTTATTTGCCGATCGGCCACGGACTCCCTGTGTGGGGCTGGAGTTCTGGCTGGCTGGCTGTGCCATTGTCAACAGTGGAATGTGTGGCTGTCATTGGATAAGATAAGTCTGGCTTGTCTGTAACTCTGGTTGGGAATGGGTCTGACTGTCATGTTGGGTCCCCGTCTTTGATTGATTCTGCCTGTGGATCTACCCCTCACCCCCCGGCTGCTCGGCGTGGTCTAACAGAGGGGTCTTGACTCACTGCAGGCCTATCCCCATCTACAGGACTGAACCACCCGTTTCTGATGTAACTATAGGATCTCACCCAGCTGTTTGATTATGTGAGCTCCTCCCCCGCTCACTGACCACTGATTGTATCTGATGCTGAATGAGGCTCTGAAAGGTCAAGGGACTTCCCCAGTGTCACCCAGATAAGCAGCCAGGCATTAATTCCAGGCCTGATTCTAGAGCCTACACTTCTCCCAGGGCAGGATGCTGCCTGTTTTTGACTGTGTCTGATTGTATTGACAGGGGGACCGCCTTGAGAGTAGAATTGTGTATGCACGTGTAACAGGGCGTTGGTGGTCTCTGTGCCTACCTAAAGGACCTTTCGTCTGTCTTGTGGTCACTGAGTCAGGTTAGAGAATTATGAGGCTGGGAGTCTGATAGGATTCGTGTCCAGTCACGTGGCTGTGTCAGGGTGCAGGGCTGGAGATCCAGCTGCTGACGGTGGCACCATCTGGCTGTCTGGCCACGTGAGGCTGTAGGACCATGTCCTGTTCTAGGGCCGCTCACACATCTGTTTGAGTCACATGAAACTAATCGACTGTCTATGTAAGTGTGTGAATATCAGCCCACTTCTTGTGTCGCCACGTTTCTGTCTGTCTTGTCCATGAACAACTCCAGCCAGCCTCTAGGGCCTCTCTGACTCTCTTTCCTCTCTTCTCTGCTGCCTTCCTGACCCCTGGGGGCCTTAGGGGCACCATGGTAAGGTGAGTCGACAGAGTGGGGCCGGGAATGCTGACAACACGGTGGGGTTTGGTGCTAGGGTCTGGGCATGATGCCTGTCTCCCCTGCTCCTTTCTCCCCAGGTGGCTGCGAGCCTACGAGAGTGCGGTCTCCTTCCACTTCAGCAACTATTTCGTGGGCTTTCTGTCCGAGGCCACGGCCACGTTGGCGGGTGCCGGCTTCACCGAGGAGAAGGATCACTTGGAATGGTGGGAGGGCTGGGGGGGGGTGCCTCTCCCATAGGGTGCTCCTGAGAGTTGCTGCAGGGAGGTGGGAACGGACTCTCAGGGGAGGGAACAACCAAAACAAAAGTGTGGAGGCCAGTCGGGTTGAGATGCCACATGAATGATTGTGCATGTCTCTTCTGCCATAGGGACCTGACGGTGTCTAAGCCACTGAACGTGGAGCTGCCCCGGTCCATGGTGGAAGTTGTCACGAGCTGGAACCTGCCCATGTCTTATTGGCTAAATAACTGTGAGTCACCAAGTCACCACTCCAAGAAAGTTGGGAGTCCTCAGCCCAGACTCTTTTTTTTTAAACATTTATTTATACATAGAAGAGCTGGGGTGTAAGCCAGAGATGTGGGGGGTGAGAGGATTCACATGAGACAGAGTGGGGAGCAGAACAGGAAGATCTACTTTATACACTGCTGAGGGGAGCAGCGGGAGAGTCAGGAGCAGTCTGCTGCACCATGTGGGTCACCTCCCTGGCTGGGAATCGAACTTGTGCTGCAGTGGCTGTGGATAGCTTCATAGTGCTGTGTCTTAACCCCTTGCGCCATCAAGGAGGCCCCTCAGCCCAGACTTTTACTCACACAGCAAACATTTACTGAATGCCTGCTGTGTGCAAGCTAGGCACTGAAGATACTACAGGGACCAACAGCACCCCAATCCCTGCTCTTGTGGAGCTGGCATTCTTGTAGGGGAAGCAGATAATAAATAAGAGTGAAAAAAAAACACAACAGTTCACGTGGCGATATGTGCTGTGGCAAAAACTAACTAAATAAATAACTAACTAAATAAATAAGGTATAGGTGATCCAGGAGTTTGGGTAGGAGTGGGAGGAGGGGGGAGGTGGCAATTTTAAATAAATTAGCCAGAGCAAGTGTCACTGAGGAAGTAACATTTGAACAAAGACATGAGGAAGGTGAGGGAGAGCGCCATGCATGTATGTGGAGGCAGAAGGGTGTAACCAGGGAGGAAACAGCTGGGACAAAGGCCCTGAGGCAGAGCCTGCCTGGCATGTCTGAGGAACAGCAAGGAAACCAGTGTGGTGGAAGCAGAGTGAGCAAGGGCGCCAGTGGCAGGAGGTGAGGTTGAAGAGGTGACAGCGGTCTGGTTCTTGGGGTCTCTCAGGCCATGGGGAGAATTTGGCTTTTTCTATGTGAGAGATGGTGCCTTGGCCAGGTCCCAGGCAGAGGAGGGCCGTGGGCTGACTTGAGCTGTGACACTACCCTCTGGCTGCTGTGAGGACAGATGGGGAGGGGATGAGGGCAGAATTGGTGAGGACACTACTGCATAGTCCAGGCAGCAATGGTGGTGGCGGTGACAGGGAGTGGAGAGGTCTGATTCTGGATAAATTCTGAAGGTAGAACTGACAGGATTTGCTAAGAGTTTGGGTATGATAGTGTAGGGGAGGGCAGGTCAAAGGTGATTCCAAAGATTTTGCCCTATGGAACTGAAGGGTACAGTTGGCAGTGACTGAAATTGGGGAGGTAGTGGGAGAAGCAGTTTGGGAGGGAAGGTCAGGAGCTAAGTTTTGGACACAGGAAGTTTGAGGCCATCATAAAGACTTTATCCTGGGGGCTCCAATGGTTTATGGGTATCCCTCCCCTACCCCGTTCTCTGGCCCTCTAAGAGGAGCAGGGGGGAGCTCAGGAGACCACATCTGCCCCCTCCAGATGTTTTCAAGAATGCCCTTCGCCTGGGGACTTTCTCGGCCGTGCTGGTCACCTATGCAGCCAGTGCCCTCCTGCACGTGAGTAGGGCAGAGCGGGGATCAGGGTGGAAGCTGGGTGGGTATGGAGGGCCTCCTCTTTCCTCCCTCGTTGCCCTCTGCCAACCCCTTCCCCCCCCCCCTCCAACCCAGGGCTTCAGCTTCCACCTGGCTGCGGTGCTGCTCTCCCTGGCTTTTATCACTTACGTGGAGCACGGTGAGTGTAGAGCCCAGTCCAGCAGACAGGATAGGAGGTTAGGGGAGGGCGGCTGGAATCATCATCCCCAGAGGCTAACCTGACCCCTTTACCTCTCCCCACCCACCCCAGTCCTCCGGAAGCGCCTGGCTCGGATCCTCAGTGCCTGCGTCTTGTCGAAACGGTGCCCACCAGATTGTTCGCACCAGCATCGCTTGGTGAGGGTTCAGCCTGGGCAACCTGGTGCCCAACATGTCCCCTCAAAAGTGTTACTTCCGTCTCCATCTTATATCTATCTCAGAGTGCCCAGCTTCCTCTTCCAATGCCTGAGCCATCCCCATAATCTCACCTCTACTCACTGGCATTCATTTCTCTAACAAACTTATCCAGCACCTACTAGACACACACCTGGCATAGATTTCCTCAGTGAGCATTTCCTGAGCCCATGGTGGTACCAGGCACTGTTCTAGGTGCTGGAGACACAGTGATGAACAAAACAGGTCAAAATTCCAGCCCTCTGGGGCGAGCATTTCGCAGGGGAAGACAGCAAATGAAAAATAAGTCTGTCAAGTAGAATAGCTAAGGAGAATGCTAAGGAGAAAATACATGAGAAAAAGGGGATGGGAAGTATCAGAGGAGAGAGGTTTCCACTTTAAATAGGGAGGTGACTTTTTAAAGATTTATTTACACATTCAAGAACTGGGGTGCAGGCCAGAGGTGTGGGGGTGGGGAGTGAGAGGATTCACACTCCCCATGGGGAGCGGGGAGCAGAACAGGCAGATTGGCTGAAACACACTGCTGAGGGGAGCAGCGGGCGAGCCAGGAGAGGTCTGCTGCACCATGTGGGTCACCTCCCTGGCCGGGGATCCAACCCAGGCCGCAGTGGCTGGTGATAGCTTGATAGCACTGAGACTTTAACCCCAGCACCACCAGCGAGGCCCTGGGAGGTGACTTTTGAGGTCTTTAATTGAAGGAGGTGAGGGAGGGAAGCGTTCAGACAAAGGGAACTATCAATGTAAAGGGCCTGAGATGGGAGCGGCCGGCTACCTAAGGAGCAGCACACGCATCCTGTACTCAGTGAGCAAGGGGGAGAGCAAGGGGAAGCACAGGCCCTGCAGGTCATAGCAGGGATTTGCTTTCGTTTTTCACTCTGTGACAAGAAGTGTGGACGACTCAGATCTGTCTCCCACCTGACCATCGATGTTTATCACCATAACCCCCTAAGCATTCTTCCTTCTCTGCCTGGGTGCTCTCCCCCAGCCTGGATGCCCTCATGCTAACGTACCCTCATCCTTAGAGACCCGCTGAATTCCCTTGGGAGGATCGAAACCATCCTTCCCACCCCGGGGGATGCGCTAGTCGTCGTTATTGCTGGGACCCTTGGGGTCTTGTCTGGTGCATCTCCCTGGGCCCACGCCCCCAGGTGGGGATGCGATACAGGTCCAAGTGCCAAGTGTATCCATCTGTCCCCCACAGGGCCTGGGGGTGCGAGCCTTAAACCTGCTCTTTGGGGCCCTGGCCATCTTCCACCTGGCCTACCTGGGCTCCCTGTTTGATGTCGATGTGGATGACACCACAGAGGAGCAGGTGAGGTGGGGCCCTGGGCTAGGGATTACCAAGGGATGGTGCTACCAGCTGGTGGAAGCTTATCTCTATCTTGTGCAGCCCGCACTCCTTAGTCCTTCTTTTTCGTTGCACCTCTGGGTGACTCGCACAGTTGGGTCTTTCATTTGGGGGAAGTGTGAAAAATATGTTTATTTTAACCTATAAAATTTTTATTATAGCCATGGGGTGCAAAACCCACGTTTTACTTTTTTTGAAAAGTACTGGTCACATTTTTGTTTAGGTAGAATTTCTGAATTGCAAGTTTCCTTTCCTATTTGATTTTTAAAAATATTTCATGTTTACTCAGGTTGAGTGTGCACGCTCTGGTTTTTACTTCAAAAATTTATATAATTTATATAAAAATTATGTACTATTTTTATTCACGTGGAGGGTGCACATTCCAAGATTTCATTCCTTTTTAAATGAAACACGATTTTGAAAATAATGTTTATTCATATGGTTCTTGCAAGATACAGGTTTTGCTTCCCTTTTAGTTAAATTTTTAGTTGAAATAAAACTTTGTATTATTTTTGGGGTTTTTTTTTGGTTTGTGTTTTTGTGTGTGTCTCTCTCCATTTATTTATGTTTGCTGGATTTTTTTGAGCATTTTGCAATTTTTAGCATACACATCCTGTACATGTTTTGTTAAGTATTTATCAAAGCCTTTCATTTTCATTTTCTTTTTTTTTTAGCATAGAAAGTTTTCTCCTTTGTATACATTTAGAACAAGAGTGATCATTCTTATTTTAACATCCACGTTGGAATATAATTCATATACCATACAATTCACCCATTTAATGCGTACAATTCAATAGCTTTCAATTACACCAAAAAGAAGCCCCACTTTATATGATTTTTGTCATGAAAACAATTTTTAATTTTTCTTCAGGCTGAGTGTGCAAAATCTGGGTTTTACTTCTTTTTAAATAAAGTTTTTGTTTTATTTTATTTTTATTAAAATGTCTAAAAATACCTAATGCCTTTCACATAGTTTAAAAATCAAACTGTATTCAAGATATTCAGGAGAAAGTCTTAATTCTCCCAACTACCCCATGCTTCCTTACAGGTAACCACTTTTATTCATTTTTCAAAATATATCCTTCCAAAATTTAAGTCCAACCAGCAAATATAAAATTTATATTTTCATTACCACCCCCTAGTTTTTACCCTAACACATGAATGACACGGTTCTTTCTACCTGTCAACTTTTTCACAGTCATTCTTGAAAAGCTTCCACACCAGTGTACAGTATTCTCATTCATTTTTTTCCACTGTAAGTCTATGTCACAGTGTAGTCTGTCCCTTACAGGTGGACACCCAGGTGATTTCCAGTCCTTTCCTATTGTAAATGATGCTGCAGGGAATAATACCCTCAGACCCCTGTAGATTCGCAAGGATGCAGACAGAACTGTAGGATCTAGTCCTGCCAGTGGCAATGGAGAAGTTACCTTTCTGCCTTCCTACCAGCAGTGCAGACATGCCTGTCACCCCACCCACTGAGTTCCTGTCAGACTTCCTGGATCTGTTTACCAGTGTGATAGGAGGAAGATAATGAATGAGCCTGAGTGTCTTTTCCTATGTTTAAGAGTGATTCATTTTTTCCTTTATTGAGAATGGCTTATCTGCCTCCTTTGCCAATTTTTGTCTTTCTAAAAAATCGATTTCTAGGAGTTCTGTATATATCAGGGAGAATACAGGTCAGAAAGTAGGATTGCCTTGTCTTTTTTAAAAAATTATTTTCAAAGAAGAAGAAAACACAAAAGAAAAAAAAGACTAAATGTGTTTACCTCTCCTGTGTACCCAGTCTCTTTTCTGGCTGCCCCCTCCCCCAAACCCGCCAGAATGTTGAGCAAAGGATGGGTTTTCCTGAGACCTTTGTTCTTGCTGAGTAGGACTGTCACCTCTTTCTCTCCCACAGGGCTATGGCATGGCATACACTGTCCACAAGTGGTCAGAGCTCAGCTGGGCCAGTCACTGGGTCACTTTTGGATGCTGGATCTTCTACCGTCTCATAGGCTGAGGCACATCTGTGGACCTTCACACTCCCTCAAAGTCCCTCCTCAGGGTGCCAGCTCTGATGGGGGATGAGGGAAGGCCCTCTCTCTAATTCTTGACCCCTCTCCATCCTTGACCCACCCCAACACCCACACACACACACACACACACACACACACACACGCGCGTACACACACACACACACACACACACTTCCATGCCTGTCAATTCCCACCCCACCACAAGGCGGGAAGGGGGTGGTCCCTGCTGGAGTCTAGGGATGATGGGGGATGCTTGGGGCAGCAAAGAGGGGGAGATCAAGGGCCTCCCCGCCTTTCTTCTCCTTTTTTTATATAGTTTGTTATTGTCAAATAAAAGTAGGAAATATCCAAAAGGCTCTTTCTTAACTGCTTAGCGGGGAATAGAAGTGATAAAAGTTTGGAAGCTGGAAACCATGAAGGGGAGCAGGTTATGATTGGTTCATGGTTAATTTATGATGTCAAGGTTTGGTGTGAGTGGGACCAAGACAGATTGGATAGTTGGATTGTGGGGAGAGCCTAATACTACTGTCCGCGAAACTGAGGGATCTTTTCTATTATAATTAATTGTTTTAACTGTGACAGAGAGGAATGAAATCAAGACACAGGAAGAATTGGTGCTCATTGTTCTTAGGAGAAAGATTGTGGGTTCTAATTGGATGGGAGGTCCAGCCCGACTCTGATTGCTCGGTCTCGGTGCCCATTGGCCTAGAGTTACGGAGTTCTGATTGGCTCTTTAGAGTTGGCTCAGGGAGATTGAGAGTTCCCGGGCCGGCGGTCGGCGAGGCTGCGGGACCTGGGTTTTGATTGGTTCTTCTGACTTGAAGTCCGGAGAGGTGAGGAAGACCGCTGCCATCAGGAAAGGAGGAAGTGCGGTGTGTAGGGTGTAATCTGCCCGTCGTATTTACAATTGCCTCGCCCATTAAGACATTAGGATTGAAGGTATATCCAGGAACTGATCGATTGCTCCGCCTAGAAACCGAGGGTAAAGGTGAGAGGAGACAACACAGTCTGATTTGATAGCAAATGAGGTGGGTGATGAATACTTTAACGTTTTCCGGTTCATTGATCAGAGACTCCTGACTTGGTCTCAGCCAACAGCGAAAATGGCACCACGCGTGAGGGCGGGGCCGGCGGCACACAGAGAGCTACCATTGGTTGGGATAGACACTGACCATCTCCCCAGCGCCTCCATTGGCCTCCTCCCTAAGGCGTGGGCCCTGTGAGGTGGTGGGTCTGAAATAGGGATGTTACAGAGCCTGTGATCCCGCTTAGAAAGTCCCAGAACCGGGTGAGAGAGCCCGCTGTGACCACGCTGGTGGGTGAGTACCCTCCGCTCGGCTTGCCACTCCCATTCCCCGGCTCTCACTGGCTCTCTGTCTCTGTGTGTTTCTCTCTCACCCCTACCACCCTTACAGCCCTGCATAACAGCCCCCCCTCCTCCGCACTGTCGGGGCGGGGTGGCTAGGGGGATAAACAGAAGATCCTCCTTCTCATTGGATAGTTGGATCAAAGGGTTCTATCTCTGATTGGTAGTCTCTGTATTTGACATTCCTTTTCCTCTTTGGTGCCCCGCGCAATACCGCTGCCCTGCACTTTCCTCCCCTCTTGAAGGTTGGAGGCATTATGTGCTATTATGACAAGGGTCTGCCTTTCCAATTACTGAACCCGAGGGTCATAGTTCTCATTAGTTTCCTCTCTTCTGTCCTGTAGTCTCCAGGACTGCAGGGTGGGAATAGCTTTCAGATAAACGGTGCACTGACACCTGCCGGATCCCTGGGTCTCCCCCAGCAGACCACGAACCCCAGAGCAGGGACTGGCTCCGGTTCCACCGTCTCCCCCCACCAAACTGTGACCCCCAAGGAATGGGTCTGATTCCTTTGATTACCCCATCTCGTGACTCCAGGAGGGCTGGGGACAAGCTTTCAGGGTTTCCGTGCTCTTATAGTCACATTCTTAAAGCCGCATATAATTATAGTCTATTAAACCTTTGTCAGTCTATGAACTGATAAGTTTAGTCCACTTAACATTTCTTGTGATTAAAAAAAAACCTATTTGGATTTTATTTTTTTAATCTCATTCTGTGCTTTCTATTTGTTTAGGTTTTTCTGTTCCTTTTTTCTCTACTACCCCCACACAGCCACAGGTCCACAAAGAGATGGCCACCAACTCCAGCCCCTTGCACCCATACTGGCCTCGCCACCTGAAACTGGACAACTTCGTGCCTAATGACCGCCCCACCTGGCATATTCTGGCTGGCCTCTTCTCCACCTCTGGGGTCTTAGTTGTGACCACATGGCTGTTGTCAGGTCGAGCTGCAGTCGTCCCACTGGGGCCTTGGCGGCGACTGTCTGTGTGCTGGTTTGCAGTTTGTGGGTTCATCCACATGGTGATTGAAGGCTGGTTCGTACTCTACCATGAGGACCTACTTGGAGACCAAGCCTTCTTGTCCCAACTCTGTGAGTCCCAAGTTCTTTGATGTGTGTGGGAGGGAACTTTCTGGGCAGAGATTGGCCTAGCTATTTAACCACCCACCCATTCTTCTTTTCATTTATTTTTTAAATTCATTTAACTTGTCACACATAAATTCATGTGGGTCAAAAAACAAACCATTTAAAGTAGTATGCAATGTAATTCTACCAAGTTTCCCCAATTATTAACCACTGTTAATTATTGCTTATGTTTCCCTTCAGGAATTTTATTTATACATAAACCACACACTTAAGCGTCAGTTTGCTTAATTGTAAAAAGGGGATAATATTAATATATGTACATTGCTTAGAACAGATTTGACAGGTAGAAGATGCCATACAATTGTTTACTGTTATCATCATTTTTATTTTTGCTTTTTTACACAAGTGGGACAATGCTATATACACTTCTGAACTTTGCTTTTTTTATGAGGTCACAGAGCTTTCAAAGCATAGATATTACAGAATTATTTCACTTGTCCAGTATTGATGGATATATTCTCCCAATGTTTAGCTGTTATGAAAAATAATCCTTCTGACCTAGTGAGTAAAAGTGCTAGGAAAATTCTTATGCAATTCTTTATGTGGACATCCACTTTCATTTCTCTTGGGTAAACATGGAAGAGTGGAATGGCTGGTTTGTATGGTATGTGCGTGTTTCACTTGATAAACTGCCAACTTGTTTTCAGAAATGGCTGCACCATCTTCTGTTCCCACCAGCAGTGTATGGAGTTCTTGTTTGTCCCTGCCTACACTTGGTATGGTCAGAGGGTTCTAAATTTTTGTCCTTCTAATGGATGTGAGTGATAAGTCGTTATGGTTTTATTTTTCCTTTACAACTAATGGAAGTTTGAGCACCTTTTGTGGGCTTCTTTGGAAATCCTTTTTTTTTTTTCTTTTTTGAAGAACTTATTCTAGCCTCCCACCTATTTTTTTAAAGATTTATTTATTTATACATACAAGAATTGGGGTACAGTCCAGAGTTGTGGGGGATGAGAGGATTCACCAGAGACAAAGTGGGGAACAGAACAGGAGGATTGACTGACATACACTGCTCAGGGGAGCAGCGGGTGAGTCAGGAGAGGTCTGCTGCCCCATGTGGGTAGCTCCCTGTCCAGGAATTAAACTTGTGCTGCCGTGGCTGCGGCTAGCTTCATAGGTTGCATCTTAATCCCTTGCGCCACCAAGGAGGCCCCCTCCCACATATTTTTATATTGAGTGATGTCTCTTATTGATTTTCTGTTCCCTCTTCCTTTCACTTATCTGTTCACCTGTATGCTTGTGCTTGTGCTTTCTTACTCACTCACTGTTACACTCACACCATCATCTGCACCTGCCTGCTTTGATTCCACAAACATTTTGGAGTACCAGACAATCACAGCAACACTGTGTCAGATACATTGTTTTGTATATGTATTTATACACACATCTAGAATCCAAACATGGGTGTCCCATTTCAGATAAGGAAACTGAGGCATGGAGAGATTAGAAAATCTGCCTTCTTACATGGGTCCTGGGCTCTCATCACTCTGAGTTCATGTCCTGCCTTTATTCTTTTTTTTTTTTTTAAGATGTGTTTTCTTTTTTATTTTTTAAGATTTATTTATTTATTTGTACAAGCACTGGGTACAGTCAGAAGCGCGGGAGGGTGAGAGAATTCACCTGAGCCAGAGCAGGGAAGAGAACAGGCAGACTGATGAAGTACACTGCTGAGGGGAGCAGTGAGCACGGCAGGAGAGGTCTGCAGCACCATGTGGGACCCTCGCCAGTGGCCGGGGATCGAACCGGCGCTGCAGAGGCTTCGGGCAGCTTTGCAGCCCAGCACTCAACCGCTGCACCACCGGAGAGGCCCCAAGATTTGTTTTTATTGATGCATTCAAGAATGGGGGTATAGGCCAGAGGTATGGCGGGGGTGGTGGTGAGAGGATTCACCAGAGACAGAGTGGGGAGCAGAACAGGAAGACTGACTGAAATTCACTGCTGAGAGGAGAAGTGAGCAAGACAGAAGAGGTCTGCTGCACCATGTGGGTAGCTCCCTGGCCAGGGATCGAACTTGTGCTATAGTGGCTTCACTGTGCTGAGACTTAACCCCTTGTGCCACCAGGAAGGCCCCCCTACCTTTGTTCTTAATGGATGTCTCTTGTCTACTTCAGGGAAAGAGTACGCCAAGGGAGATAGCCGATACCTCCTGTAAGTGTTTGCCTCTGTCAAGGGGGACCTATATTGGTTTAGGGTAGTGGTGGGTCAGGGAGCTATCATGGGGTACCCTGTGAGCAGAGCACCATGATGCTAGTGTCCCCCCATCTTTTTCCCTTAGGGATGACAACTTTACGATATGCATGGAGTCCATCACGGCTTGCCTGTGGGGACCACTGAGTCTGATGGTGGTGATCGCCTTTCTCCGACAGAAACCCATCCGCTTTGTCCTACAGCTCGTGGTCTCTGTGGGTAAGGAAAGCACCCTTTGGGCTTAAGGGAGATCCAAGACATAGAGGCATCCCTGCTGATGGGCTCTCTCAATGGGGCCTATCCAGGGCTGAGTCAGATTGAATAACAAACCCCCTGAGGTTCTGGAGCAGCCATTCTCTGAACATGTGTTCTCAAGCAGGTGGGGTTTTCTCCTTTTCCAGCATGAAGCCTCCTGTGGAGATTATGTGAGGTGGCCCGTGATGGCGGGAAGCTACTGGATCCTCCAGGATCCACAGTCTGAGTGTCCATCATATGACATTTCATCCTCGTGGGTTCTTAAATTGTTTGTTTTCTTTAGTTGTGAAAATATAAGTTCTCTTTAGTCCCAGAATCCTGAGCTATCTTGAATTAGAATTGAATCCTAGAGGATTTTGAGCTTCCTTAAATCTGGAGCTATGAATGCTCCTGAGTTCAGAAATTCTCAGCTGTGTGAATTTGGGGATCCTGATCCCTGCGACCATGAATGACTTGGAAAAGCTCTGTCTTTCACAGGATTTCCTCATTCCCCTTCTTCCTCCTACAGGTCAGATCTATGGGGATGTGCTCTATTTCCTGACAGAGCTTCGTGACGAATTCCAGCATGGGGAGCTAGGCCATCCACTCTACTTCTGGTTTTACTTTGTCTTCTTGAACGCCCTGTGGCTGGTGGTGCCCGGAATCCTTGTGCTTGATTCAGTAAAGCAGCTCACTCGTGCCCAGAGCATGCTGGACGCCAAGACCAGAAAAGCCAAGAGCAAGCAGAACTAATGAGTGATGGACTGGACTTGCACACTGGCTGATGAGGGACTTGCAGAAGAGTCCAGTCCTGTTCCCACAGGTTGGATGGACAGAGCAAATTGATCTGCCAAACTCAGGCTGATGAGTGGGCCAAAGACAGGAGGGAAGAAAGGAGCTCTGTGGAGCTACTGCCAGGGCCATTGGGACAAAGATACAAGAGAACCTAGAAGGTCTGTGATGGTGACAGTTTTTTAATCAGGAAATAAAAGACCTTAACTATAACACTGAGAGATCTTTAATTACTAACCCTAGAAATACTCCATGACTGACTCCCCAGGTCCCTCCATCATTCACTTATTCCACAGACTACCATTCTCTTAGCCATAGACCCCCCCGGTCATCAGATAGGCCTCCAATCCATGACCTCAAAAAGCCTATCACTGACCCCACAAACTCCCATCACTCACCTCACAGACACTTCATCATTGACTCCACAGTCTTCTATTAGGGCTGCTATATCAAGAATACCACAAACTACGTGGCAGAAATTATTTTCTAACAGTTCCGGAGATTGGAAGTCCAAGATCAGGGTGTCCTTAGGGTAAGTTTCTCCTGAGGCCTCTTTCCTTACAGATTGCCTTCTCCCCATGGGTCCCTATCCCTGGCATTACTTTCTTTTCTTACAAGGACACCAGTCCTATTTGATTAAGGTTCCACTCTTAATGGCTTCATTAAATCTTCATTACCTCCTTAAAGGCCTTATCTCCAAATACAGTCAAATTGAGGGGTTAGGTTTTAATATAAGATGGGGGAAAATTAAGTCCATAACAATAACCATCATTCACTACACAGGCCTCATCATTCACCTCACAGACATTCCTTCATTCATCCCATGCATACACCCATCACTCAGCCTCTTGTCTCCTGACTAGACACCCCACAGATACACCATCACTAACTTTACAGACCTACCAACATGCACGCCGAAGACCCCCATCACTCACCGCACAGACCCAATAAAACACCCCACAAACCCTACCAGCAATCACCCCACATAATCCATCATTAACCCCTAAGATGCCTATCACTCTCCCCACAAATAGCCTTTCATTCACACTATATATTGCCCATCATTTACTTCACTAACTTTAACTCCCTATAACTTACTTGCAGAATCCATCACCTCACAGACTCCTATCACACTCCACAGGTCCCCAATTACCTTAGTGATCTTCCATCACTCACCCCACAGTCTATCGCTCACCCCACAAACCCCATCATTCACCCCACAGATCCTCACCCTATAGACCCCCATCATCATCTCATGGTCTCCATCATTAACCTCATTGACCTGCAGTCATAAAGTAAGTGGATACTTGAGGAAATTTGAGGTGACAAAGCATGAATAATAAAAGTGAAAATAATTGTGGAGTGGCTTCAGGTGACCTGTATTGATCAGGGCTTCAGTTCAAATCCAGCTCCTGCTCAAGCCTACAGTACATCTTTTGAGAAATGCCTCACTGTTAAAGCCAAAGCTGTATATTACTTTCTCACCTCACATCCATCACTTACTTCATCACTTACTTATAGCCTGCTGGCCTCCTTGCTCTTTTTCAAGAACGGCTTCTCAAAAGCCCCACCTCCATCCATTGCACAGTCTTCTCTTTGTGCCACTTACTACACCCTTGACCTTTAGCTTTTTTCTACCTGGACTTCGATGCTTTCTTCTGTAAAATGCTAATAATAGTAGTACCTACCTCATGGGGTTTTTATACAGATTAAATGAATTAATATATCAGACTAGCATACACTTTGTATTTTTTTTTAATTTTTTTAAGATTTATTTATTTATTTGTACAAGCACTGGGGTACAGTCAGAAGCACGGGAGGGTGAGAGAATTCCCCAGAGCCAGAGCGGAGGGCAGAACAGGCAGACTGCTGAGGGGAGCAGCGGGCGGCAGGAGAGGTCTGCGTGCCATGTGGGACATTTACCCGGCAGCCGGGGATCGAACTGGTGCTGCAGAGGCTGCGGGCAGCTTCACAACCCAGCGCTCAACTGCTGAGCCACCGGGGAGGCCCTACACTTTGTGTTTTTTTTTTTTTAAGATTTATTTATTTATGCATACAAGAGCTGGGGTGTAGGCCAGAGGTGCGGGGGAGAGGGGAAGAGGATTCACCAGAGAGAGAGAGTGGCGAACAGAACTGGCAGATCGACAGAAATACACTGCTGAGGGGAGCAGCGGGTGAGACAGGAGAGGTCTGCTGCACCATGTGGGTAGCTCCCTGGCCGGTGATCAAACTCGGTGCTTCAGTGGCTGCTGATAGCTTCATAGTGCTGAGACTTAATCCCTTGCTCCCCCAGGGAGGCCCCTCTGGCACACACTCTGTATTAATTGAATGGAAGAGTAAATAAAGAGACGTTCTCCCCAACATTGGCAAGGACCTCTTGTTTGATCTCCTTGCTTCCAGAATCTTTCCATCCAAGGCTCTCTCCACAAACAAGACAGAGGCATCTGAGCACATAATTTCCCCATCTAAAATCTGTGCTCCAGTGCCCTCAGGATAAACTCCAATCTCCAGGCTAATGTTTTGCTCATTCCACCCTATGATAATTTTGATAAGAAGCAGGCTCTCAAACAATTTGTTTCCACCAGAAAATCCAGCAGTGCCCTAAGAAGTGTTTTTGTCTCTAGCACATGGGAAAGAGAAAGATGCCAATAAACCTTTTCTGACTTTCAAGGAAAATTCCCCTTTCAACCTTTCAGAAAGTAGAGATGCCTAATAATAATGTCAAAGCAACAAACCATTTAAAAAGATACCAAAATAGAACTGCAACCATCTAAAAAGCTAACATTAAGGGTAGCAGCCATCCAGCAAAGCAACAACAGCTGAAATCCAGGTATCTTACAGGACTCCTTTGTCAGAAATTACATCTGTAAAGGGAATTGTTTTGTCCAAACCTTCTGGATGTCCAACCAAGTGAGAATGCTGTTTTGCATTCTGCATTCAAAGCTCGTCAAAGGAGTCTAAGATATGTTCAATCATTCAGCTGATATTTACTGGACACATACTATTTAACAATAGGACTGACCTAAAGTGTTGTGAATACTAAATAAGATGAAGGCAAATTTTTAAAAGCAAGGTCCTCCAGAGAGCCTAACAATGGCTGTTTGGGGTAAATTATTTAACCAATTATAACATGCAAACAGAAATGGTAAAAATCATTAATGTACAGCTCTGTGAATGTTCATGCTAAATTATTTTTGAAAAGATTCTGGGAAAAGGATTTTTTTTTTCTCGTTCAGCGGGGCAATTCGGAGCGAGGGTCGCTGACATTTGAAAGCAATGACATCATCTGTCAGCAAAGGCTTGTGGTGACTAGGGGCGGGATGTAAGGTTCTGACGTCATCGCGCTACAGCTTCCTTTTCCCTGCCTACTTGTCTCCTCAGAATAGGTTGTCACTTCAACACACACCTAGGTGAATCCGGAAGTAGACTGCCCAACAACCTCGGGCGAGGGGAGGCGGGGCCTCAGTAGGCGGCAGCACATTGGCTGCAACCAGACCTAATACCAGCTTTTGGGGAAGAGGCTACCCACAACAGTGCTGTGCGCATGCGCAAACGCGACCTCCATCCCGCGCCAGGTGGGAGGGGCGGTGAAGTGGGGGGGGGGGGTCGCACGGCGCCCTCTGCGCCTGCGCCCAGGCGCGAGGTGGGGCCGCGGGCGCCCGTTCTCTGGGGTGCGCGCGGGGGTAGGGGGCAAGTGTCAACCGTCACCCTGAGGTGGTGGCGGCGGGATGGCGACGGCCTCTGGGCCCTCGGACTTAGCTGGCACCGGAGCGCCCCCACCTGGCGGGGGAGCCCAAGCGGCGGCGGCCGAAGAGGAGGAGAGAGAGGTGGTACGGGTCCGAGTCAAGGTGAGGCTTACAGCCTGCTGGTCGGCCACCAGTCCGAGGGGCTTCCAGCAGAGGGCGAGGCGGAGGCTGTCCTAGGATGGAGGGCGGAGCCAGAAGCGGGGTGTTAACCTGAGGGGCGAGGTTTGAGTGCTGAAAGATGGGAGGAGGGGAGGCTGGACCTGGGAATGCGGGCGCAGGGCTTGAGGACGCGGGGCCTTAGGGATATAGCCTGGGGTGAGGGTCTGAAAATGGAGGGAAATGGGTCTGTAGATTGGTAAGGGGAGATTGTGGGGAGATAGGGGAGGAGACATAAGTTTGAAGGAGGGACCTTAATAATTTGAGGGGTGGGATCTTGAGGAATGAGGGGTGCTGTTGCCCTCTGAGAAAGGAGGTGCTGAAGTCAGTCAACATGTGTGTTGCCAATGCACATTTGTGCAGGTCCCCACCCTGGATGACCTGAGACGCTCATCTCGAAGATGAACAGCTAAATAAATGAGATGCCTCGGACCCTGATGAATGTCATGAGGAAATAGCGAAAAGGGTTCTGAACTAGGGAGTTTTCTTTAGACAAGGTTGTACACGGACCTCCCCAGAGAGGTGTTGAAGGAGCAGAGACCCGGATAAGGAGTCAGTTGTGTGCATATGGGGAGAAGAGTGTTCTAGGCAGAGAGAACAGCAAGGGCAAAGGCTGGGAGGTGGAAATGAGCTTGCATGTTTTCTTAACTTTCCATATTGCTGGTAGGAGGTGAATCAGGAGGTTGGAGAGGGTCAGATTGTGGAAGGCCTTTGGTATGTACTCTGAGTAAGAAAACTGTTGTAATAGGTGACTAACAAGGGTGGTGGCACTGAGGAGGATGAGGAGAGGCTAGATTCTGGAGAGAAGTAAACAGATCACTTCAGTGTAATGGAGCAAGCTCTAAGGTAGAGGTTTAGAAGTTTAGGGAAAAATGATGCTTGATTGTGAATGAGCCAGTTGGAGAAAATGGGAAGGTTATTCCAGATGGGACCAGCACAAGCAAAGGCCTAGAGCCAAGGTATGTTCAAAGTAACTTCTAGCAATTTGGTGGTACCAGAGCATGAAGTTCAAAAACGCTGACTGGATAGAGGCTCGCAAGGGTCATATAGGACCACTTACTGGGGACCCTGAGGTTGCCTTTGAAGAGGTTTAAGGAGGGGAGTGTTGCAAATAGATGTGCTAGATTAGATTGGTTGCCACGTGGAGGACTGATTTAATTGGGGCCAGGCCAGATACTGTGACTCTGGCAACCAGAGTTGAGGAGATACAGGATTGAGTGCCTGGACTCTTGCAGTAGCCTCCTCCTCACTAGACCACTGCTGCCTCCCTTCCCTCACAGTCTGTTCTTTGCAGAGCAGTCAGATCCTGTTAAACCCTAACTCAGACCATGTCTCCTCCCGGCACAGAGCCCTGGCATGGCTTCTTTTACTCAGCAAACACTAATGTCCTCACCAGGGCCCAGAATACCCACCTTGATCTGGCCCCCGTGACATCTGTGACCTTGCCTCCAACCACTCATTCTGTTTTAACCTGATAACATGACCCCCCCCCCATAGCCTACCCACTGTCTTCTCTCCCCAGAAATACGAGAGCTTCTTGTCACCTGAATTCCGCTCTTTCGCCGTCGATCCCCAGATCACCTCGCTGGATGTGTTACAGCACATTCTCATCCGAGCCTTTGACTTGAACGGGTGAGTGATGGGGTGCTGGGCACCAGCTAGTGGGCCACCCACCTCAACAGTGATGCTTTGGCTCTTTTGTCATTGTTTGGTAGGATTTTTTTTTGTTTGCTTATTATAAATAGTCCTACAATGAACAACCACCTGGGTATATCTTGGACTGTTTGAGGAAATCTAGTCATAGGATAAATTTCTAGCAGTGGTATTGCTAGGCTAATGGGTGTGCGCTTTTTAAATTTTAGTGGATATTTCCAAGATGCCCTCCTGATGGGTTATCACCAATCCACAGTGTCACTAACAGCAAATAAAAGGACTGTTTCCCTCATACCCTCACAAACACTGTTACTAGAAAACTGGAAAATTTACCAATCTGATAGATGAAAGTGGTATTTCCAGAAACAGGCATGATGGTTATTTTGGTGTGGTTATTTTGGAGGAATACACGTACATGAACAAATTCAGATTCAAAAGTGATGGGTATTTAGGATGCTTTTAAGGTCACAGTAGTTGTCACACAGACATAATTTGCATAGTTACATAGGTATATCTGAAAAACAAATTGTTATTTGTTATTTGACCTTTTTGTATAAACATTTGTGTTAGAAAAACTAGCAGATATACAGATTGCTTCATTTTTAATGCAGTAAGAAAGTGCATTTAAAAAAAAGTGAGAAGAAAGGAGGCTGCTTTTCTTCTCACTCCTGCCCTTCAACAACCCCTCATGTGGGGAGCAACATCTTACAGGTTTTTAATGTGCCCTCTAGATACAAGCAGGTGTGTACCTGTTCCTCCATGGAACGAAGCAGAACTGGCTGCAGTCTACTGCAACCCAGTTCCCAACACATAGTAGGAAGTTGTCTTCAGCACCTTCTGTCTTCCCCTGCTTTTGGAAACTGTCCCTGAGGCCTCCAGGGCAGGAGTACTGAGAGCTGCCATGCCTCCTCTGTCCAGAAAGAAGAACTTTGGTATCAGCTACCTGGGCCGGGATCGGCTGGGGCAGGAAACTTACCTCTCACTCCTGTCTGACTGGGACCTCAGCACGGCCTTTGCCAACGCCTCAAAACCTTACCTGCAGCTGCGTGTAGACATTCGTCCCACTGAAGATAGTGAGTACCCAGCACTGGGGATGAGGTGGGGGGCAGGAACACTGCTTTGGGACCCACTCTTTCCCCATAGGATGACTCCACCATTCACCATATACAACCTCACAGTGGGCTAGGGAAACCAGGTCTCCTAGGTCCTGATCCTGTATCACCCTCTGTGTCTCAATTTCTTCACCTATAGAGATAATGGTATCTTAGGACTGTTGTGAGGGGAATTCATGTAAAATGCCTGGAAAGGTGCATGGCTGCATAGTGAATGCTCCAGAAGTATAAGCTCCAATTATAGTAATTCTATATATTATTATAGCATATAATCTCATAATATGTTATGATTATATACTGCAGTATTCATTCATTTCTTTGTTTTCTAGCTCATTAAATTTCCTGACATCACAGTTATGGATAATATCCTTTTTCTTGGGGAAAACACAGTTTAAGTGTTACAGGGTAGATGTCATGATATCTGCAAATAATTCAGCAAGAAAATAATAGGTGTGGTGCCTCCCAGGTGGCGCAAGGGGTTAAGCACAGCACTGTGAAGCTATCCACAGCCTCTGCAGCACCAGTTTGATCCCTGGCCAGCGAGAGAGCTACCCACATGGCGCAGCAGACCTCACCTGTCTCGTCTGCTCCTCCCCTCAGCAGTATATTTCAGTAGATCTGCCTGTTCTGTTCCCCATTCTGTCTCTGGTGAATCCTCTCACCCCCTACGCCTCTGGCCTGTACCCCCCGCTGTTGTATGCATAAATAAATAAATCTTTAAAAAAAAAGAATATGAAAGGTATACATAGAGAGAGAGCAAGATGAAGCAAAGGTGGCAAAATTGTTACTAGGGAAGTGATGAAGGATGAATGAGTGTTCAGTGTATTCTTCTTTTTAACTTTAGTGTAGATTGGAAAATCATCTAAATGAAAAGTCATGGAGTAGAAGGGAGTAGAAGACATGGTTCCCAAACTCAGGGAACTCATGTGCCCATTTGGGAATATTGAGGCATCTTGTTGCTATCCTAAGAATAGATAAGTAGATAACATTGGGGCCACTGTACATGTATAATTTTTTTTTAAAGATTTATTTCTTTATGCATAGAAGTGCTAGGGTACAGGCCAGAGATGCAGGGGATGAGAGGATTCACCAGAGACAGAGTGGGGAATAGAACAGGTAGACTGACTGAAACACACTGCTAAGGGGAGCAGTAGGCGAGACAGGAGGGGTCTGCTGCGCCATATGGGTTGATCCCTGGCCAGCTGGGGATGGATGCGGATTGCTTCATAGTGTGGTGCTTAACCCCTTGCGCCACCAGGGAGGCCCTGTACGTGTATAGTTTTATTCACTGGAGTGTGAAAACAGCCCTATAAGGTAGAGATGATCCTTATCCCCATGTTATAGATGAGGTAACTGAGGCTCATAGGGGACAGGACTTGTCCATATCACATGAGACAGTAAGTAGAGGAACAGGGTTTGAACCCAAGCAGTGGCTCAGCTGGCTCCAGAATCCTTGCTCTTAATCATTTGACTCTACAAAAGTTGGGGCTTGTTAAGACTGGCAACCTTGAGAAAATGAGATAGACAGGAAGAAAGACAAAGGAGGGAAGAATGGAGGGAGGGAAAGAAGGAGAGAGAGAAAAACAAGATTCAGAGAGAAAGAGTGACAGAAGTGGGCAGAGACCCTGGAACCTCTGCTCCTGGGTAGCCATATATGCTGAGATCAGCCCCTTAACTAACTCCCAAACCTCTTTCCTAACCTGTAAATGGGCACAGTGGCACTATTTCAGTTAAGAAATAAAATCTGGTCCTCCCTGGTGGTGCACAGGTGAAATTCTCAGCACTATCAAGCTATCACCAGCCTCTGCAGCACGAGTTCCATCCCCAGTCAGGGAGGTGACCCACATGGCGCAGCAGACCTCTCCTGACTTGCCCGCTGCTCCCCTCAGCAGTCATTCTGCCTGTTCTGCTCCCCACTCTGTCTCTGGTGAATCCTCTCGCCCCTCCCCACCCTGCACCTCTGACCTAAACCCCAGTTCTTGTATGCATAAATAAAAAAAATCTTTTTTTTTAAAGAAAGAAATCAAATCTGCTTGGCTAATAGACGTGTGAAGAAAACCCTAACTGCATAAGAACTGACAGGAACACAAATAAAGCAGAGATAGACACCCATCAGTTTGGTAAAAAGACATTTCTAAAAGTTAACTTTTTTTTTAAAGATTTATTTATTTATGCATACAAGAACTGGAGTACAGGCCAGAGGTGTGGAGGGTGAGAGGATTCACCATAGACAGAGTGGGGAGCAGAACAGGCAGTTCTACTGAAATACACTGCTGGGGGGAGCAGCAGGCGAGTCAGGAGAGGTCTGCTGCGCCATGTGGGTGGCTCCCTGGCTGGCCGGGGATCGAACTCATGCTGCAGAGGCTGTGGATAGCTTCATAGTGCTGTGCTTAACGCCTTGCACCACCAGGGAAGCTGTAAAAGTTATCTTCTTAAAGGGAGAATAGCTTTCCAGTTATTGCTGGGTCCATTCTTTTCCCACTGCCATCTTATTTACCAAATTCCTACATATACTCAGGTTTGTTTTGGAATTCTTCATCCTTTTACATTGATTGCTGCTAAATCCTAAGCCAGTTCCATCTTGCTTTAATCACATAACTTTGCGGTATGTTTTAATATTTTCCTTTTCCAGATTTTTTCGTGAATCTTCATTACACTGTTATTTTCATTCAATAGGATTAGTTTGTCATTCCATTAAACTCCTGATGGGAGTTTAATTGGCTTTGATGGGAGTTACATTTACTAAAAAAAAAAAAAACTAGTTTTTATTATTTATCTTTTTTAAGTGTTAAGTTTTATTTACAAAGCTTCTTTGTTGTAAGAAAATAAAAACTGCTGTTACAATCTAGGTATAACTGGTAGCCACAGATGGTTGGCTTACCAGTCACGGCTGGCCAGCTACAGCTAGACTATTAGACAAAAGGCTAGCAAGACTTACAGTTTGGTTGGGGTGAAGTCCCCAAACTTGGTGGCAGATTTCCAACAGGGACTAAATGTCACAGGAACTATTCTTTGGCTCTTTGGGTGGATGAGTGTCCTGGTGTTTGTATCATAGCTACCTTTGAAAAATAAATAGCTGCCAAGTCTATCTGAGCCTCAGCCTTCCCACAAATACTGAACAGTTCTTTTTTTTGAAGTTTGGGTCCTAATCATCTTCTCCATTATCATGTTTCTCTCTTCTCTTCACCTTTCCTGCTTTCTTCCTTTTCTTCATCCTCATTGTCTTCATCTTCAACCTCTCCATCATGTGAAAATCTAAAGAAACTCATTTTTAATTATCCAGAAATAAAACATTTCAAATAATGCAAAAATTTCCCACAACCACTATAGCTAATCTTAATCCCCTACCCTTTTGCCTCAAGAAAATCAGTTTGATCAGTTTGATGTATAAACTTGCATGTATTTTATTTATCCACATATGGAGATACCCAGGTGTATTCCTATTTATATATGTACACCAATGGTATGTGTTTGACATAAATGGTATGATATTACACATTGATAAGTAAGTCTCTGATAGATGGAGCTGTTATTACAGATATTATTTATGGCATTCTTGTCCCAGTCATTCCCTTGCTGTGACCTTTAGGATGGCCCAGCCCCTCTTTGGGGAAGAAGCCCGTTTCTATCACTTCTGTGATAGAAAAATTACCAAGTCTATACTTTTGACCAATTTGTCCATTTGTGATATGAGTCCTCTATTGTCATATGTTCTGCAAATATGTTTTCCCAGTTTATCTTTTGTCTGATGGCTTTATGTGTGATGTCTTTTTTTTGCCTATCAGCAATTATAATGTGTGTGCCATCTTACACTTACAGCTCTCTTTTATGATTTCTGAGTTTCTCCTATTACTTTGGAATATTATCCCCAGCTATAAGCTTATACAAATATTCTCCTCGATTTTCTTCTAATAGGCTTATTATTTTCTTTTTTTAAAAAAATATTTATTTATGCATACAAGAACTGGGGTACAGGCCAGAGGTGCGGGGCTGGCCAGCAGAGGGATGGAACTCATGCTGCAGAGGCTGTGAATAGCTTCACAGTGTTGTATTTAACCCCTTGCACCACCAGGGAGGCCCTATTATTTTCTTTTTTACATATAAATACCCTATCAACACTGTGATAAGTAAACCTAGCTTTTTAAAAAATGACAAGTCAATTATTTATTAAATAATTTATCAAATAATGTCATAATTTATTAGGTCATAATAAGTTTCATAAATTTATTTAATCATTTTTAAATCATCAATCATTTATTAAATAGCCAACTTCTCTTTTTAAATTTTTAATTTTTTTATATACATTTTACATCATTCTTGTACAATGTATGCTTTCTCCTCTCAGATGTAGTCCCTGTGGAATTCCCACCACCAGTTCACCCGTGTCCCATCACCATAGTCCCTTGCGCTCTTCCTACCCATTTTGATCCATCACCCTCCTCCTCCCCTGCAAAATGTCTCTGATTTATAGTTGCCTGTTGATTTTGATTTTTAATTTATTATGATTTCCCCCCAATCCCTTATTTGTTTCCTCTACATTCCTCCTATAAGTGAAACCATCCAATATTTTTTTCTGACTTATTTCACTGAGCATAATCCCTTCCAGCTCCATTGATGTTGCTGTGAATGGCATGAGTTTATCTTTTTTGATTGCTGAATAATATTCCATTGTGTATATATTCCACATCTTCTTGATCCAGTCATCTGTTTTGGGGCATTTGGGTTGTTTCCATAGCTTACCTATTGTAAATAGTGCTGCAATAAACATAGGGGTACAGGTGTCCTTTTGAATTAATGTTTTTGTGTCCTTTGGGTAGATTCCCTAGGAGTGGAATTGCTGGATCCTATGGAAGCTTCATTTTTAGTAGTTTGAGGAACCTCCACACAGCTTTCCATAGTGGTTGGACCAGTTTGCACTCCCACCAGCATTAAAGGAGAGTTCCTTTTCCTCCACAGTCTTG